CTCAGCAGTGCTGTCAGAAACACTCGGCAGAGTCCGGCACTTAAGGGCATATGTTTTTCCCTCTCCTCAGCCGCCTGCAAACAGCGACAAACACACACAAACAGAAGCTCCCAGCTACGGTAATGAAATCATTCAGCAGTGAACCCAAGAAAAAGAAGGGCAGTGAAAAATAACTGCAACCCTGTGATGAACAGCTTGTGTTAGGAGGCTCATGCAAGATGTGCGCTCCTCTGCAGCCATTGATAGGTACTTTCATATTGTAGTGTTTTACTGATCAAAATCAGTCACTCATTTTAGGTAATCTGGTTTGAGGTCTTGGATTACTTGTAGATTACTTTAATCTTAGTTTACGTTTTGATTACTTTGGATTGTTTGTAATAGATGTGAATGCGGTTACATATAAACAAATAGCTTCTGCTTCATCCTGCTCCATTTCGACCTTGCTGAAATGTATTTTCTTTAAAAAATAGTTTTGTATAATAAATCAAAACTAATCAGAGAAATAAATTACAGTGCTCAGCTTATATGAGAACACCCCTCACAAATCTCTCATTTAAATGAATATTTTCTAAAGGAAGCTTTACAATATTATATTTGTGCATATACATTAGTTTAGTCAGTACAAAAGACAAATCTGGTGCTTATCTAACAAAAAACCTACAATAACAGTTCAAAAATTAGTAGCCCAATTTTATATGTTAGGGAAAAATATAAAATAACATTTCCAAAAATAGAAAAAAATCAAGAGATACAAAAATATGTAATATTTTGTTAAAATGTTGTTGTTTGTAATTTTTTCTTTTTTGCAGTATTTTCCATGAATGCATTATCTTTCCATTTCTAAAGGTGTTCTGTAACTAAAATATAATTTTAATAAATATATATGTTTAATAAATCTGTTTGGTTCAAATGCACAAGTATATACAGTTGAAGTCAGAATTATTAGTTTTATTATTAATTATTATTAGTCTGTTTAATGGAGAGAATATTTTTTTCAACAAATTTCTAATCATAATAGTTGTAATAACTCATTTCTAATTACTGATTTATTATCTTTGCCATGATGATAGTAAATAATATTTCTCTAGATATATTTTTAAGACACTTCTATACAGCTTAAAGTGACATTTAAAGGCTTAACTTAGTTAATTAGGTTAACTAGGCAGGTTAGGGTAATCAGGTAAGTTATTGTATGACAATGGTTTGCTCTGTAGACTATCCAAAAATATATATAGCTTAAAGGAGCTAATAATTTTGACCTTAAAAAGGTTTTTAAAATACTAAAAACTGCTTTTATTCTAGCCAAAATAAAACAAATAAGACTTTCTCCAGAAGAAAAAAATATTATCAGACATACTGTGAAATTTTCCTTGCTCTGTTAAACATCATTTGGGAAATATTTAAAAAAAGAAAAAAAATATAAGGGGGTTTAATAATTCTGATTTTAACTGTATTACATATATTTACTGAGAAATTGATAAAAATATTCCTTTCCAAAATAGGGTGTACTCATATGCTGAGCACTGCACGTTCCACTCTTTGTTATTATCATGGTTTTACAATTGTGTTAAATTAATAAAATACTGACAATTTGTAAACTTATGTAAATCTAACAATAAAAAAGAATAAAATTATTTAAAATGTAAAAACAAGCAAAAAAATAAACACCAAAATTTGAAATATTCTGATTTCCCCAGACTTAATTTTACTCCCTTGACTTTGAGTGCATGCATGCCATTTCTTATCTGTATTTTAGCATTACATATTTATTCATGTATTTTCTTATCAAATATTTTTAATACAAGTTTTATTTTTTTATTAAATATTTTATTTTTTTAAATCACTTTGGATCAACTACGGTTGTGTAAAATTGTGCTCTGTAAATAAAATTTGCCTTGCCTAATTATTACAAGTACTATATTTACCCAACAATGCAACACAACATCAACAAAAAAATAAATAAATTAATTAATTGATTAAGCAAAATGCAAATGCTAAAAATCTCAAACAAATAAATAACAAAATAAATATTAAATGTTTTAAATAATATTTATTATAATAATATAATAATTTATTAACATCTGCTTCAGATCAACATATAGATTCTGATGATCCTACATCAGTTTCTATTTCATTACAATTTACACATACACGAAAAATTATTTGTGATTTACTAAGGGATTTGATATCAACTCATTTAACCAAAATCACAGACTAAGTGAATAATCAAATCACTACTCTTTTTCCTGATTTAAAAAGAACCAGTGCAGTACAATTATGTAAAAAATATATACAAAATACAAATATCGAGAAGTGGTCATATCTCCTGCACAGAGAGAGAGAGAGAGAGAGAAAAAGTATTACATAACTCACAGATTATTTACATCTTGTCACCTCCTGTACTGCATTGTGTATTTCACACATGAAAGTCATGTCTTATGATTAGCATGTGACAATGCATTGTGTGTGTATATGTGTGAGTGAATACATTTTTCAGTGGCTTGTTGTGTCATAATTAACTTGTGAGAACATAAAAAATGTTGATGCCACAAATTTATTATACTACATTATGTTATATTTTATGTTATTATATTATACTATATTATATTATATTATATTATATTATATTATATTATATTATATTATATTATACTATATTATATTATATTATATTATATTATATCATATTATGTCATGTTATATCAAATCATAATATATTATATTATATTATATTATATTATATTATATTATATTATATCATATTATGTCATGTTATATCAAATCATGTTATATTATATTATATTATATTATATTATATTATATAGCCAACAACCCACAAGTTATTCATAATATGCTGTGATATGTTAAAATTATACATAATTTTACATTTTTTAAAATAATAACATGATATTTAAAAGATTTTTTTATGTTTGTTTGTAATGTACAAATTTTTTTTTTTCATTTCTTTTCACTTTTTATATCCATATTTTATCATCTCTTTGCTACACAACTGATGATCTTTATTTTCTATTTTACGTAAAGGTCTGACAAAAACTCAATTCTTTGACTCGATTAATCACTTATCAGCCAGTAGATGGCGATAATGGTGGGTATTTTCGTGAGCAATATCGCGTTGTTAAAAAAAAAACAGAATCATAATTTAAATTTTGGACCAAAACAAACTGATTCTTCCATTTACATCACTGACTCGCTATATGAAGACATCGCAAATCCTCTCATATATTTTTCAAAAACTTAAACAAAATAAAATCTAAAAAATCTAATCCTAAGACCAAATAAGTAGGCTATTTGTGTATAACTTTATCAATTAGTAAAAAGTAACTGTTTAAAACCCCTAAATCTTGAATTATCTTAAAAATAAACTCAAAAGGCCAATAAATAAATAAAATGACTGCGGTTGCATTTCCATGGCCTCATCTTCACCAATTAAATGAGTCTATACATCAAGAGTGATTAGGAAACTGTAAGAGCAGCTCTCCTGCGTGTCAGAAGTGTTCAGCGGTCAGTGAGTGTCAGCAGAGAGACGCTTCGACACGCCAGGGGTTTAATGCTCTTACAACACGACACGCCAATGACGCGCCCGCCGGGAGTGATGACTGTTCGTTTAACGCAGAAAGAGTGCAAGATCACTTTCTCTCTAGTGCACACTAGTGGACAGGATTGAAGATCATTACTGATGGCATAATGAAAAGGAAACTCGTCTCTAAACAACAATTCTCCTCGTAATTACAACCATATTTAAAAAACCCAACTTTGTGAGCAGTCGATAATAAATAGATATAAATATCCAGTATGTAAAACATAAATAGCCCAACAGTGATGTTCAGTTTGAAAGGTTCATTCATGTTTTTAAACAAACAATGATGCAAATATTCAGTTTTGGCCTGAAATTCAGTCTAAACGTAAATAAACATTTTCATGTTGAAATAAACTAAAATCAATTATTAAATAGTTTCATTGTTTTATACATCTGCAAATTATTATTTTACAGACTTTAATGTTTGTTTACAAATCAGTAATTACTGCACAGGACTAAAACAAACTTACATAATATCTATTAAAAATAATATATATAATATATCTCTATAATATATATAAAAAGTCTTTTTTTTTTTTTTTTTTTTTTTTACATAAGGCTGTTTAAAACGCCTGCTTTAGATTTGGCTTCTCTGTTGTATTGAACAGTTTTTTAATCTCCAAGGCTAAATACACGTTAGGATTAACAGTGTAAAACGAAGTGATGTATCGATTCAGCGTTAGATCACTGACAAATGGTCTAGTTTAGTTATAGAGAAGTGTGTGTGAGACTGGCTTTGAATGCATGCGCTCATGCATTAGCAGGTTGTGGACGACAGGCGCTGAAATCGCGTTAATAAGTGGAACGGGTAAGTTACAGGACACCGCCGATTCACGATCACACAAATACCCAAGGACAGGTCCTTGCGGCCCCGGGGCGCTTCCTGCGCCCTCACAACAGCAGCAGGCCGCGTCTCACCAGCGAGGACCAGTCTCATTTAGGAGATTATAAGCTCAATGCACATTGCAGGCATGACACAACCCTTCAATACACAGATGATCTGAGCTAAAGTGTGTCATTATTGTGTTGATGTACATGTAGGCCCTGTACTGCAATCGCTTTTATTTTGGACATTTATGAGCATCAATATTGTGATAACTTTAAAATCATTTAATGGTTATTAAGCGCTTTGTAAAACAAAACAAAACAAACAAAAATGGATTTTGCATCTACTATATGAATAAAAACAGTTTAAATCTGAACTCTGCACTGTGCATCGTAGATATCTGAATAAATCCGAACTCAAGTGTTGGTTCACGTCAAAGGCCTTTTGATATTTTGGCTACATGATTTGTAAAAACTTCCAAACAACTTTTTCTTTCAAACAATCCAAACATGTTCGCTTCTTTAAAACAGTTCCAACTAATATACACATGCATGGGAGAGGAAAAAACTGAGATGATCATAGATATATGTTTTAATTATAAAGACATATAAACAATATACAGTATGAAACGCATGTCGCAACAAGGTCAAAATCCTTTGATCAAGTAGTTCTTCACAGTTGTACAATACAATCAAGTGAACTGTGCAATAACAAAAAATAATAAATAAATAAATAAACGATTTATAGGCCAAGCATCTGAGGATGTTACGTTTTTCCCTAAAACACTGATGGAGTATATCATCCGTATATTCATTTCAGACTAACTTAAAAAAAAAAGAAACTATTGTTTATTGTGGGCAATTGTAAATTGCATAGTTGACCAATACCGATGAAACCGAAAGCTTTGACTTAAAAAAGAAATCCTTCGCAAACTGTGAGCAATAATAAGCAATTTCTTTTGTTTGTTTGTTTTCACACAAATAATCTTTTAAATCCTTCATTTGGGAAAAGGAAGAAAGGCTTTAAATTTGAGGGGTTTATAAGCTTGTTTCAGTAATTCCGTGTCTCTTGATTATTTATTTCACATTATCTAATAAATTTGGATGACACATCGCACTTATTTTGACACAAAGCAGGAGTTTTGAGTCAGACCTATAAGCCCAGTCCCAACAAAACAGTTCGACCAACATAAGGAAGCGGGAAGAGTTCAGCGAGTGGAAGTCAAGGCTTATCGTTGCAGTGTTTGAACAGGTTGGACGGGGTGCCGGAGAACGAGTTGCATTTCTCCGCGCAGGTGGCCAGTGCTGTGCTCGAAAACGGATACACGGCCGCTTGTCCGAAAGGCGCGAGCGCGGTGGGAATCGGCGAAGTTATAGTCTGTCCTTGGTTAAGATAAGCCACCAACCGGCGCATCTCCTCCAGCGCCTGCGCCTGCATTAGGATGTAGTTTTTTGCAAGAAGCAAAGTTGCAATTTTAGAGAGTTTTCTCACGGACGGGCTGTGCGCGTAAGGAATCACAGATCTCAGACCGTCCAGCGCGTCATTGAGGTCGTGCATGCGTCTCCGCTCGCGCGCGTTGATGCTCAGCCGGAGAGATCTCTGCTCCTTGGACTTCTTGGTGAGAGAGCCCGGGTGCTTCTCTTCGTCGAAGCCCGCGCCTCGCTTACGGGACTCGAGGTTGTCGAAGCCGTCGTCTTCGTCGCTGGTCTGCTCACCGCCACTTTCGTTCGACTTTCCAGTTTGACCGGAGAGGAAATCCGCGGCAGGTGTGAGCGAGAAGCGGCCAGGACTTCCAGCACCATGGCCAGCGCCGAAACCGAAGGCGGACTGTCCGTAGCGCTGCGTCAGGTCCAGCAAGGTATCGTTGCTGATCGATTTCAGCAAGTTCTCGTCGCCGACATTCATTTTGGAGAAAATAAATAAAATGAAAACAAAAAAACGGACCGGATGGAAAACTTTGGCGCGCGCGCTCCTGAAAGCTTGCTCGCGCTTCCCCGTCTTCTGTTTCGTGGGTGTCCTTCAAAGGGCTGTTGAAAATGAAGACACTTTTTGATAGAGATCTTTCTTCCCCTATCACGTCGAGCACTCGTGTTCCGCTCCTCCGCGCAGACAGTGATGTTGCGTGCACTTTAGACGCCTCGTCTGAACTTGCGCGCGTTCTTGCAGTGCGTCTTGCCCTCGCCCTGGGCAGATTGAGACTCGCGCGCAGTCCTACAAGCTAGTGAGTAAGAGCGCGAGGCCCCGCGGGATTATCACTCTGTCCAATCAGGAGGGCGTTTTAATTAAGAAGATTAGAAACTGGCATGCTCTTAAATTCATCTAGCAATCATAACTGCTGAACAAATGATGGCATAATATTAAACATGGCCGAAGCATTGTAGTGAGCAGCATTTTTGTTAATCTGTAATACTGTGAAATTCCAATCAGTTACACCAAATGAACAAAAAGTTAGTCAAGTAATTATTAAAACAATTTGTTGTAAAGTGAATATTTATCTATACCACCTAACAAATAGACAAATTTATGAGGAATACAATCAAAGAAAATGACCACTAAAATAATTTGATATTATTGTCAAACTGAGGATTCAAAAAGTTATTTTAGGGGAAGTGCAATAGAAACTACAGAGCATGCTTACTGATTGCATGTAATATTTCTTATAATAAGATGCCAAAAGATTTGAGTTCTTTAAGGCTCACACAATCATATTGCAGGTTTTGTAAAAAAAATTACAGGTGCTCCTAAATTCTTTTTAAATTACCTTTCTAAATAAATCTACCGTGTCCTATTGCTTGACTTCAATATGTAATAGTTCATGCTTATGAATTTGGTGACAAAAGCACCTCTCAATAACAATAACAATACAACAAATCCCAATCTAATAAAATTATATCAAAAGTAATCTTAAAGTAATCAGTGCATTACTTCAAATGAGTAATCTAGATTAAACTGAAGTTATCACCATGTAATTTGTAGTGACAACAAGTTGTGTTCTGGTTTAGTCCTTTGAGTAAATAAATAAATAATAAATAAATAAATAATAAAAATAATAAAAAATAAGACCTATGGTTAGTAGAAGAGATATAAACAAAAAACAGTCAAATCTCAGGTGTGGGTTTAGGCCTAAAGAAACTAGCAAGCTGCAACATATAGGATACTAAAGCTACCACAACGTAAGTCTACCTGCTTGATATTCACTGTCCTTAATTGTACTGCAATAGAGAACTATTAAAACAAGAAATTTAAAACAAGACAGAGACTTTATGACAAAAAATAACTTTAAAAGAAGAGAACTCTAAAACAAGACCATGTTTGACTGAAGTTCTGGAGTTGAAAAAAAAATGACGCCACTATACTCCATCAAATGTGCAAGCTACAATCTTTGAGCTAAAATGGCAACATTTTCTCTAGGCTTAACATTTATACAATGCTTTTTGTTTTGCCCATGCAGGGTATATGCTGTAACTTGTATCTGACCTGACGTGTGTGTGTGTTGTTGAACAGGGCGGAAGTGATGGTAGAGATGACGTGCTGTGAGGGATTAATCGCACCGCCTGGATAAGGCCCAGCGTTGAGCTTCAGCAGCTACAGCCAACATTAAGCAAATGTGAAGGTATAGGGAGATTTCTGCAGGTTGGTAAAAAAGAAAAAGAAAACAGCAAGTCAGTGTTAAATCTTTAGTACAAGATAGCTTTTCTACTAGTATATAATCTAGGCCTACATAATTCAGTCAGTTCTTGAAAGTTGTTTTAGGGTTTCTACAGTGAATGTTAAATAAAAATTATAAATAATTAAACAAGCAATTATCACTCAATTGTTATAAACTCTTACTTGACAAAAGAAAACAATCAAAAAGTGCTCAATAAATGACAAACTTGGCGCTAAAATGATGCACTGCCATCTTGTGTTCATTGGAGAAAGGCACAAATTAGAAAACCAACAGCTGCATAGACAAACTAATGCCTAGTTCAGACTGCATGATTTTAGCCCCGATTATATTTTATTGAATATTATGTATTTACAAAATTATCCTTAACATTGAAATATGTTAATTTAGCTTATAGTAAAAATAATTAAAATAGATTACATTCTTAATCCTAATTGTTTAATAATCTTAATTGTTTAAATATTTTGGTATATATGTTTATGATATTTTAAATTAGTTTTTCATGTATTCCATTCTCAGTTTAATTTGATTCACTTTTAATATTTTTCTTTGATTGTTTTTTTTCCAAACGACTGCACTTTATGGTTTATTTACATTGTTTTATGTTTATATTAGTTATTTTAGTAAACTAAATGAAAATAAACTCAAAACAAATGTGAAAAGATTATTCATTTTGTAAAAAGTTTTAATAGCATTTTCAATTTTTAAAAATTTTAATGTTAATATTTTATATTAGGATTATTATTTTATATATTTTCCCAGAGATGGGTTGCGGCTGGAAGGGCATCCGCTGCGTAAAAACTTGCTGGATAAGTTGGTGGTTCATTCCGCTGTGGCGACCCCGGATTAATAAAGGGACTAAGCCGACAAGAAAATGAATGAATATTATTTTATATAACTTTAAAATATAATATTATTTCTAGTTATGCTTTTTTGTGTGTTTTTTAAATATATCTATATAATTATACAGATAACTATACATTTAATATAAGTAAATGTTCAATTTATTCTAAAATAAACGTTTCTCAGTGATGGGTTGCGGCTGGAAGGGCAGCCACTGTGTAAAACATATGCTTGATAAATTGGCGGTTCATTCTGCTGTGGTAATCCCAGATTAATAAAGGCACTAAGCCGAAATGAAAATTAATAAATTAATAAAATAAACGATTTTGTCATAAATTGAGTTAATCTTAAATTGAGTTTGGGATCCTTAGAGCTGCACACCGATGGATTGCTCTTTTCTTAGTGTTTGGACTCTCAGCAGTCATTATTAAACCACACTGAACTGAGCTAAACTGAACTGAACTTAAACTCTGAAAACTAAACTACACTTTTCAATTTACTATGATCTTCTATGTAAAGCTGCTTTGACACAATCTACATTGTAAAAGCGCTACACAAATAAAGATGAATTGAATTTTATTGAATTTATTTGGGCAGGTGTGAATGCAGTCATTGCATTTGCACCAAAAGCAGACTAAACAAACCGAGACCTGCTTGAAGAGGCTGTCTCATTACACTTACAACATAACACTTATTTTATAGTTATTCGTTTGTGAGGAGAACATGATCAGAACAGGAACGAACCCAACTGAAAAAAGTACTAAACATTTTTTGGACAAAACCATCTGCCATAGTCAACTGTGCTCTGTATTGTGGGATCAGGGCAAGTATTTGTTTATAGTGCTTTAGCCACAGCACTAAACTATATAATATACAATGCCCAGGGATACAGTCGTTTATGCTATGAATTGTTGTGTTGTCACGTCTGCTGGCTTCTCCATATCTGTTTGTTTACTTCTGAGAGTTCTCTAGGAATATTCTTGAACGTTAATTCTGACCAACTGAAAAGCAGTTTAGGTCAGGAAATACATCTAATGACACATATTGCAAATGAGTAATGTGAATGTTGACACATGACTCCATTTTAGTTCGTTTTAACGGTCTTCAATACTATCTGGATGCAGACTTGGATTAGGAAGACTGCACAGACAAAACGACTGGGTCTGAAATCTCATACCTTCATACAATATATAGTATGATAAAAACAGTATGCGAGTGGAGTAGTATATCCAAATAAAGTGGCAACATCCTGCTCTCACTCGTGAAGCTAATACTGAAGTAACTGACACTGCAATTCACCGACTGTCCTTTGGGGGCTTGCTCCAGGAACTCCAGATGTTCACTGACTGCCATGCTAAATTGGCCATTTTTACAGCTGATAAAAACATGTTCACAGCCTGGTACAAAAGATGGTTTTGGTGCATAAAGCTAATATTTTCCTTAATGACAACTGTGAGGGGGTGATTTTTTTTATAACTCATCCATTTCATTTATATTGAGCTTAATTAAGTCTTAATTGAGTGAGTGACAACTTGATTGACAGCTAGGTCTCGCTGGTCGCGGTCAAGTCACCTCAGCTGATTCGGGCTGATTAGCCGATGAGCTTGTCATATATGTTGTTTTTTGTTTTAGTTTATGTGCTTTATGGATTATTTTTTTTTACAATTATCAGATAATAAGGAATGCTGTGCTCACTTAATTTACTTAATTGTGCTCAAAAACTATTCAAGTGACCTCCTATTCCAAGATGAGTGAAATACTTATTTTTGAAAATTCTATAACAGTCGTTTGAAACGTTGTCATACAGTGTTATGCCTGGATTTCATAAATAGCCTTGCATTTACTAATTTAGACCATATTTAAAGTAAATAGAAGTAATTTGCTTTTTCCTCCTGTAGAAAAACATCAAAAGAAGAATGCTTAGTGGCCCAATGTATTACACCAGTGTTTTTAAAGGACCAAAAAAAAATGTATTACACAACCAAGCACATGTGTTCAGAACACAAACGAGTCGCAGGTAATAAAGTAATAAGCGTTTCGGCCAAAAAAAAAAAAAAAAAAAAAAAAAAACCTTTCCGTAGCTCTGCTCTGCTCATGCTTCACCTCTTTGCCCATGTTTGGGTCATGGTCGGAGCGATGATACACGAACAAAATGGCGATGTTCCATTCATACAACTCACATTCATACTGTATAAAATGTATTTTTCTATTGGTTGAATAAATTTAAATTCAAATGCAATACCTAGGCAATTTTGGACGCAGTCAATGCACTCAGTGGAGCTAGTGAAGTCACTGTGAGGGGGTTGAGACCAGAGCAATCAATCTGTTCTGAAAAGAAACCAAAACTCCAGAAATATGTTAAAGTGTATCATTTGGTCCAGGAAAATTTAACCAAACCACAAAAAAATGGGTGAACTATCCCTTTAATTATACATAAAAAGGATAATATGTGCCTTCTCACACAATACACAAGATGGCGCTGCTGTAAAACAATTCTTCATCAAGCAACATGAACAACTAAAGCTATGCTAAACACAAACACTGCCACCTCACACTAAAAACAATAGTGTGATTAATACAGAAATCATATTCCACAATAATAGCAACAAAAACATTACATACAGA